GGACAAGATTTTCATTTTTATCATCACTAAAACAATGGTCCATTAGCTAAGCTTGGACAACCACCGAGTCGTATCAGTCCTTTCCGTTGGAAACGGAAGACCTTAATAGGGTACATTCCACTAATTATTTTTAGAATCGGTAGGAGAAGAAAGTAGTGCAGGAAAAAATTACAAGTTCCTAAATTTGCAGACTTGCATAAAAGAAATTGGGCAGATGTACTGAACTGAGCCTCATACTTGTTAATTGGCAGTATCTTTCCTACTAAAAAAGCTTGGCAAGTGTAATTTATTAAGAAGATCAGCCGAATTATTATGTGTATTATAACGCCAGTGAGAACTCTGAAATTTCTCTGCTTTCACTTTGATTTTTAGAGGTTCTGCCGGAAAACGTATCTGACATGCCACCTTCAATTCTAGCATTTCTGCATTGCAATTAGCTGATGTTTGTTATGAGATGATAAATCATGTGTAAACTTTCTCAGTTTAGCGGAATCATGAACATTTTCGGCGAGATGAATGTTTTGTATACAGTGGTGATCAAGGCTTTGCGTACTTGCAGGAGCGGATCCAAGGATTTATGAATGAATAAAAACTATGGAAATGACCTACCAATTTTCTAATTTATACTTGCACTATCTAATGAAATGAATAATATACAAGTAATAGATATACAAGAAAACGCGAAATGATAATAAATGCAGCTGACAATCGTTATTTTTTTTATATAGATAAAATAAAATAATTATAAATTCAAGAGACAAAACAGAAGGAGAATGAATGATGGCAAAATATCACATGACGGGAACTGAATTTTATGAATGAAACTTTTAAAACGTTACTTGTAAGTTGTATATGTTATATTTGTGTATTCTACCTGGCTGTGCGCTTCAAAAGGGGGGGGGGGGGGGGGTCGTCTTTAACATAGTACCTTAGCCATAACGTTTGAACGGTAAGGGCTAGGGCTTTCGTATTTCAAATATGTAATCCTTGTGAAAAGAACTTTTATTGGATACGAAGAACTTTGACCCTTTGACCTAGACCTTGGAGAACACATGTGTACATCTTAACCTTTTTTTCTGTTTCCTTTCTGTGGCAACTGTGAGCGACTCATTACAATTATTTTAAAATTAGAAATCACTTTGACACATTGCAAGGAATAAACATTGAACGTTTCAAAACGATTGCTTGCGTAGTTATTGAGAAAATGGAAATTAAAGAATTTTAACTTTCCCCTGGTTTCCATGGCAATAATCGATTATTTGAAAATTTTAAGTGCGAATCGCACAACTACAGATACTAATCATTAAAATAAGAAAAGTTTCATGACGAACGTTTAAGGGACCAGAGAGAACACTCGCGGACAAAATTCGTCGCTTTTTACAGGTTTTTCGTCGCTTTTTACAGGTTTCCATGGCAACGGTAGACATATTGGAACTGAACGACCTCACTGCACAACTACAACCAGTGATCGTCCTTTGAGGAAAGTTTCAGGAAGATTGTCCCAGCCATCTCCGAGAAACAGCCTGGATAAAAAAAACATGCGTACAATATCAATATGTCGTCCCCGACTTCGTTCGGGGCGACATAATAATAATAATAAGAAACAGAGTAAAAACAATATGTTCCCCAACTTCGTTTGGGGAACATAATTACAGGAATAAAGATAATATACTTAACAGTGGTTCATTCAGAAATCGGAGGGGGGATGCGGCCAGTTTTAGGTCGGGATAAAGGCCTACAGCCACCCCGAAAAATTCATTTTTAAATCATACGTGTATGTATATTTTGGATACAAAAGGGGGAGGGACGAGCCCCTTCTATATCCGCTAGTGTTAAGTAAGGCCACCATAAAGCGTAGCATCCCTGTACAAATAACATTTAGTTTAATGTTTATTATGTAGCTCTAGGTTAATTTCTTGTTTCGTAATGTTTTAATGTCATTTTGTCAAATAAAATATAAAATGAATTGCTTTATTAACAGACATTGCATAAAAAAGTTATTGTTATATTATACCTTTGTTACAAAATTCAGTTAAATCACGCACACATAAGACGTCAACAGTCTACATTACGAATGACCTAGCAATATGAACAAAAAGTTTCATTCAGTATTCGACTTCAGGAAAGATTGTATTTTCTCACAGACTTATTGTTTGGACCATAGAATTTTTGAAATAACGCCTTTAACCTCCTTCCCCGCAGTCAAGTATTTTAACGCATATACCATTTCCTATTTCTAGCGAAATATTACGCAATTTTCACTAGAAATAGGAAATGGTATATTCGCTAAAATGCTTGACTGCGGGGAAGGGGGTTAAAGTCGTTATTTCAAAAATTCTATGGTCCAAACAATGTGTTTTTGTCATTTATGGTGATAACATGTAAATGTTTATTGCAAGATGACAGCGTTCTTCCGCCGATTAATAAGTCAGACGATTTTCTACTTTTATATAATACAAATGATTAAACATATTTCATAAAGAGTTACGATCTGCGCCTTTTTAATTTAAAAACGGCAATCTATTTCACCAAGGTGACCGACTTATTATTTAAAAGACTGTATCACGAATTGTCAAGAATTGTTAATTCAATGACGCAAAATTGTACCAATATCACTATGACGGGGCTTATAGAAATTGAAACAAACCAGGTTTGGGTGCTTAAATAAAAAAAAATAAAGAAATGGTATAATCTTAGTTTTTGCAAGATGTGTTCTGAATATTAATTAGTTGTAAATCACGTGGGAGCAATCGCATGAATAAACTGCACGCCATTTCTGCATATGGTGAGTAGCCTTGCTTCGTTTAAGAAATTTTTGGTATGTTTTTATAAGCATGCATGGGAAGAAGGCAAATATTCCATATGCTGGCTTTACGAAAGAAAAAAGTCACGTTCAAGATGATAATTAGTTTTGTTGATACATGTAGATCACCCTAAGGTCTTTTGAAGTAAAATAATCAAATATGGAACAGGTTTCTCAGACTCTGGGATCTTTCATTTCGAGATGATATATCTGAATGTTGAATAGAAACCGTTATCTCCAGGTATTTTTTTTATTTTAAATTCTTCTCTCCTCGAGGGTATCAAACAAACTTACTGAGTACATAATTATGATGAGCAAAAATGCCTCGTCTTAATTTGTAAATTTTATTACAGGGAGGATGGATATTGATTTTATATTGGAAATATGTAAATTTTTGAAGAACATAATAACACTGTATGATTAAAAAGATAACATTTTCAAATTTCTAAATTTTTCGATCCTGAGTTATGAATTCTGGTCTTAGGATTGTGCTTTGTTGAATTTGTTGAATTTATAGGGAAAATGCATTGTACCTGTAAAATTCTACTCTTCAAATGATCACCCCGTTGGATCCGGGTTAGAATAGGTCCTCAGTACCCCCTTGCTTGTCGTAAAAGGTGACTAAATGGGGCGGTTCTTCGGATGAGACCGTATAAATCGAGGCCCCGTGTCACAGCAGGTGTGGCACGAGAAAGATCCCTCCCTGCTCAAAGGCCCTGAGTGCCGAGCATAGGCCTAAATTTGCAGCCCTTCACCGGCAATGGTGACGTCTCCATATCAGTGAAATATTTGGAGAGGGACGTTAAACAGTATACAATCAATCAATCAATCAAATGATCAATCGTGTGTATTGACTGCAAACTGAGAGGAATGTATTAATTTGTACATGTATTATACTGAGAGATCTATGGAAATTTTTAATAAATACACCTCGACCTGAATATAAATCCCCAATTACATTTATGAATAATATAAGGTCTTGTTTGTATTGATTTAATTATGTAGACACTACATTTGTATAAAGTTTATTAAAAGAAATTGTTTTGTTCTTTCAAAATATCAGAATTAGAGTTGTTGAGAATCTAGGAGCCTTTATAAATTAAAATAGGCAAACGGTATTTATAAATAATATTTAATAATTCTTGGTATACATTGTGCATATAAAATATCAAAGACAGGGGAACCTAGAATCGCATGTTAAAGCAATTAGGTGAATACATGGATATACATCATTTTGTCTATATACAGATATATATTTGCATATACAAAATTTCCATACAGAAAATAATTAAGCTATAGAAAGACTCTACAAAACGGTAAAATAACTAGCCAGTTGTAGGCATCCTTTACAATTTGAAAGATACCTTTGTTATTCTCAATGAATTGAATTTTGTCCAACATATCTGTATTCGTGAATACAATAAGTTATATACATAAAGCGTAAGTTTAAAAAAGGTATACATGTAGAAATGTATTTTCCAGGAAAATTTACTTATAAATCTCTTTCTTTGATTAAGGATATCCGATCATCAGCCAGGAAGGATAACTCTAAAAATGAATATTTAATTTGAAATGCATCAAAATGAACCTTGGAAATGACATTTTTTTATGCAACAATTTTCATTACATTCATCTTTATAAGATTCAAGGTTTTTGGAAGTCTTAGAAAAGGTCTTATAAAAGTTGACATTTGTACCCTATAAAAGGGAAAAAAAATATTACAGTTTTATAGAAATAAGACTTTCTTAAATCCAGCCTTAGATACCAATGCTTATTAGCATGGTTGAAACAAGAAGTAATTTGTGGCGTCTTGCAATGATAGCAAAAGTCTTTTACACTATGTATTATAGAATACATGACGGAAATAGAAAACAAAAAATACCAAACAAGTATAAAAATCATGGCAATTTCTCTGAATGCCTGGATACCGATCGTTTTTTAACCTAAAATATATATGTTGATAAATTTGCAATTAGAAAATGCATTGCTGATATTCCAATTCGCTTCTTCTGCAAAAATATTGGAGATTTGACAACTTCCCCTATAAAATATGATTAACTTTCATCTTTAACTCTAAAGAAATACTGTGGATAAATTTACATAATTTTGTGGATTTAGGGATACTTTTATGAGTATTTTTGATTCCTTAATTAATAATTTTATAAACCCGAGGATCAGACTACTTTAAAGGACATATTTACCAAACATGAATAAATCGAGCTAATTTAAGAGTTGACAATAGCATAGCTACAAATATAATGATATAAACACTAAAGCAAATCCGTTGGTCATCGTGTCCACTTGTTAACCCACCTAAAATATCAAAGAAATAAAACTAGATGAATTATTATTTTTTTCAAAATCTTAGTAATTTTACCTATTAAAGATTGAACATAAGAAAAGTTTGGAATCCAACATTCAGATGGTCATTAAATGCAGTGATAATTGGATAATTAAATAGTTTTAAGACATTGAATAAAACCATTAAAAAGAATTGGAATATTTAGAAGAAATGCCATCAGAAGATTGATAAAAAATACATGAGTTTAGCATCATCTTTAAATGAAGTGCAAAAGTATGTGTTCTAAGGCATTACGAATATTCGTATACTGTGAAATCACTTATTTCATGGGGGTTTAATTTTCGTTGTTTTCTTTGAATGGAGAGACCCACGAATTCATTACCAGCACGAAGTGTAAAATTTAATACGCATTTCTAACTTAACATTCTCCAACCACGAAATCTAATCCTCACAATCCAATATTTTTTTCCTAAAACCTCGAGAATTGACCGCAATTAAATATGTCATTTTAGAGTATCTAAATTACCTGCTTCCAAAACCAGTTCAACGCTTTGTCTGTCCATAGTGCATAAAAACCTTAGCCCTGGGGTATATTTTGTAATGAAGCCATCAATTCCAAGAGGATGTCCTGTAAAAAGTTAATGAAATTCATGACGTGTTGGTATAAAGTTTTTTTTTTAATTTCTATATGCCTTGTGCATTAAATTCTAAAATATGTTCAATAAAGTTTTTCTTTTACCTCCAATCGTCGCAGTCATTGTATTATAAATATGTTCATATAGATAAATGTTCTTCTTTTCTTCCTCATTCGTCATGTGCATTATATTTTACATGTTCATATAATATTCTTTTTTCTGTTTGTTATGTGTACGGCAAGCCCTTTTTCTATTTATTCGGAAAATGAAATTTATCTTGAAATTCCAGAAATATCTCTTAAAAAATAGAGATGTATCCAAACTTAAAGAAATATCTCTCATTTTAAAGACACATATCTTTGAGAAAGAGATATCTCTTAAACTTGAGAGACTGATATCTCTTTTTATAAGATATTTCTTCCACTAGAACGGATATTTGCTATGATTACGTTACACACTTTATTGTCAAGAAAATGAGAGGTGAAAACAATAGTTGTTTTAACTTAATGGACAGTGCCAGGTTAATTTAGATTTAAATGATAGCACACTTGATTTCTGACTACTACCCATGTAAAGCTTCATGAGTGAAGGTGTCCTCATCGGATGGAAAAAGTAATACATGAAGGATATGGAGATAACGAACAGTATTCAATCTCAACGTCCATTAACCAATATACAAAATAAGACCAGAGCAAACACAGACCTCCTAAACATCAGAGGTGGGATCAGGTGCCATGGAGGAGTGAGCATCCCTGCCGACCGGTCACACCCGCCGTGTGCTCGTTGTCATGATCAGGAAATAACGGAAAAAATCCATCGTCAATTGTCAATGGTAAATAATGGACTAACAATTAGTATGAAAAACGTCAGTCAGCATTGGACTCAATGATAAATTGTTTTTGCTGACAAGGTCATTGTATCGACCATAGAATTTACGAAATGATGACTTTAAACGACACTGTTGATATTCTTGTTTCATCAACTTGCTTGTCAATAATTTACCTCGTTTAAAAAATTGTTCATACGTAGGGCATGCTCTTGCGTATCGAATCAACTGAGATATATATACTCCGTATGCAGGTGATGAAGGTATATTGCTGCATAAGTAAGGGAAATTGACGATAGAAAAGTTAAAGTCATCACGTTTTTCGTATAGCTTGGTTGTTAGATTACCATTAGTGTCTTTTTCAAGTAAAATATCCAAGTATGAAGCAGAAGTGTCGGACTCTGTGGTATCTTTTATCTCAAGCTCACCAGGATATATCGTATCGACGTAGGAATGGAAGTAAACATTATTACACATGTAATTGACAATACGTCGTCGATATATCTAAATGTCGAGTTGAAGGCCACAGCAAGTGTTTTCTTCTTTTCACGCATAAGATTTCGCATAAATTCTGCTTCATATGAATATAAAAATAAGTCTGCTAATAACGGAGCGCAATTTGTACCCATGGAAATTCTAATAGATTGTTGGAATACCTGGTCTCCAAAAACCACATAGATATTGTCAATCAGAAACTCAAGCATCTTCTTGATGTCAACTTCAGAGTACTTATGTGTGCAATCAGAATCTGTTTTAACAAAATAATTTTTCAAATGACCAATGACGAGGTAAGTAAATTTACGAGTTCCATTTTTGTTGAAGAAGCAGCTGTCAATGATATCAAAAAGCCTGGATTTTAAATTGTCGTGGGGAATTGTTGTGTATAAAGTTGAAAAGTGGTAAGTTTTTAAGCTGTTGATGTTTGTAAAGTCTTGTGATGTAAAATTGTCCAAAAGTTCTTTAGAATTTTTAAGTATCCACATCTGATTTACACCACTTCTTGAATATATAGTTGCACAGTACTCTTGAAGCTTTTCCTTCACTACTGTCAATATTTTAGTGAGAAGCAACGAAAGAAGCTTGGTTGAACATTTACTGGAACCTGCAATGTATCTTTCAAAATACATGCCAGGGGGGAGGTAAATACTTAAAGTAGGTTAGGCAGAAGCAGAAGCCTGTAGTGTAGGTAAGCAGATTCTGAAGTAAGTGTTCCAATTTAGACTAAAATATCACAAATCTTTGTATACATTCACGATTTGAAGACACTGTACGAAACATTCTTTGAGAACAAGAGCGGCGACTCGCTTGTGTGAAGCTGAGATTGAAGAACAGCTATTAAAAGATAGAAAACTTGCCACAAATCTATAATAGTTTAAACGTACAATAGAACCAATAATAAAAAAAGCAACAGGGAGTAAATGAATTAATTCATGGAAAATGGGGGATTCAGATGATGGGAAGTGTAAGGAAAAAATGAAAATTTGTTATCCCTGTCTCAAAAAATGATTCTGAATGTAGTGCATCTAGTAAGATTATCATTTCATCAGGAAATTTTCATTTCTCATTTTAAATTAAATTGCTTTTGGATATATTTTTATTTGTTGGATATATTCCTGGAAATGGATCTACCATATCTAGCATTCATTTACAATTGTTGTGAAGAGGATTAGACGTTTGTGAATTATAAAAAAAGAAACTTCTGGATGTGGATGTTCTAAAATTATTATGCATCAGGATATTACATTTGTCTTTATTGCATTGGATTTGTCTTTTCGAAAGATGATATACTGTTGAACATTTCATATTCAAATGTTTGATATTCACGTATAATTGTGTATTACATGTACATAAAAAAATTGCCTGTTTTAATCATTAATAAAGTCAGAAAAAATATTGCATTTTATGTATTTTTCTGATACATTTTAAAACCTTACATTAAGTTATTTGTAACTGTACATAAAGTTGAAAAAAAAACTGTCAATTAAGTTAAATGTAAGAATTGAGAGTTTTTCAACTTAATGTACGGTTACAGGTGACTTAATGTACAGGTTTTAAATATCCAAATCTATTAATGCTATATAGTGTACTAAAAGCACAAAGGATTACACAACAAAAATGTCTCAAATACACGAGACATTGAACAGAACCATTTACAAATCTCCTTAAATTGTATGGTAATTATGTTCCCCCAAACGAAGTTGGGGAACATATTGTTTTTACTCTGTTTCTTATTATTATGTTCCCCAAACGAAGTTGGGGAACATATTGTTTTACTCTGTTTCTTATTATTATTATTATTATTATTATTCTTTTCTCTCTCAGAAAATTTTATGAGTGATCTTGTAGACTATACATCCGACTTAGGTGAAACCTTTTTAGGGTTAGTAGGCATGTTGTGTAGAGTTGCCAAACGAAGGTCATTTTGCGCGCACGTGCTGGCAAGAGCGCGCACGTGCAACACGTGAAATGACCAATATAATGGATATCGCCATAACTTTTCTATTTTTTGATGAATATTTTGAAACTCATACTGTAAGGATATATTAGAATTATAAACAAGATGACATGGTCAATATAGCAAGATCTCCACGCGCATGCACGTGCGCTTCGCTCTGATTGGCTGAAACTAAAGTCTCAATATCTTTCTTGTTGTACGTCATAATCATTTGAAATTTTGAACTTAGTCACACATTATGAAGATCTACGGCATGATATATAAGGATTTTCATGAAAGCATGTACATACACGTGTGCTGGCAAGAGCGCGCACGTGCAACACGTTAAATGACCAATATAATAGATATTGCCGTAACTTTTCTATTTTTTGATGAATTTTTTTGAAACTCACAATGAAAGGATGCATTAGTAGTATCAACAAGATGACATGCTCAAAATGGCTAGATCTTACGCGCATGCACGTGCGCTTTGCTCTGATTGGCTGAAATTTAAGTCTCAATATCTTTCTTGTTTTACGTCATAATCCTTTGAAATTTTGAACATGGTCATACATTATGAAGATCTACAGTATGATCTATAAGAATTTTCATGAAAGCACGTAAATTTACGTGTGCTGCAATCTGATTTGTTGAAACCTTAAATGCCTATAACTTTCTTGTTTCTCAACAGAACAGGATGAAATTTAGAATATGAATAGGTATAATGGAATCCTACATGATACTACTATCAAAATTGAATGCAAGGACGTGCTTGCATGTACTTGCGCAAGCGCAATGCGAAAAATGAACTATATACTTGAAAAACAGTAACATTTATATTTTTATGACTTTTTATTGATTCCTGGAATATAAAGATATGTTAATAGTTTAGACAACATGCCATGATCACCGTGCAATGCGTTAAATGACAAAAACTTGATATCATTGTAGCTTTTAAAATTCTTTCTATAAAATTCTGCGATACTGAGCATATTAAAAAAGGTTTTAAAGGAAATTGGCACAAAAAAGGGAGTTGGGGAGCGTTTGGGTACATCTGTAACGGTCCCGTTACAATTAGAACTAGTTATTATTATTATTATTTTTCTTCTTCTTCTTCTTCCTGGAACTTTTTTGTCCGGGAATGATCTTGTAAACTATTCGTCCGATGTAGGTAAAACCTTTTTAGGGTTAGTAGACATGTTATGTAGATTTGCGGAATCAAGGTCATTTTGCGCACACGTGCTTGCAAGAGCGTGCACGTGCAACACGTGAAATGACCAATATAATAGATATAGCCACAACTGTTCTATTTTTAGATGAAATGCTTTGAAACTCATAATGTGAGGATATATTAGTAGTATAGACATGGCAACGTGGTGAAAATAGCAAGATCTCACGCGCATGCACGTGCACTTCGCTCTGATTGGCAGCAACTAAAGTCTCAATATCTTTCTTGTTTTTTGACGAAATCCTTTGAAATTTTGAACATAGCCATGTATTAGGATATCTTACAACATGAAATAAAGCAATTATCATGACAACACGTGCATGCACGTGCGCTGCAATCTGATTGGCTGAAACTTTAAACAGCTATATCTCCCTTGCTTTTCAACCAAACAGGATGGGATTTGGAAGCATAGATAGATATAATGGAATTCTACAAGTAGGTATAGTCACCAAGCACATGCATACACGTGTGTGTACATGTGCTGCAATGTGATTGGCTGAAACTTTAAACAGCTATAACTCTCTTAAGTTTTCACCCAAACGGGGTGGAATTTAGAACATAGATAGATGTAATGGACTTCTACAAGAAGGTATGGTCACCATGCTCATGTATGCACGTGCGTGCACGTGAAATGAGTAAAATCAAACATACACTTGAATGAGCGTATTTTATTAATAATTTTGGATTTAATACTTAATATTCAGTGTATTAAAATATAGATTGTGCGAGCAAGATGATAAGGTCATGACGCAAATGCATTCACATGTGCACGCGTGAAATGCTAAATTTTAAATGATTTTTGTACACTTCTTTGTAAATGTTGTTAAAATCTCAGATGCATAGAGTTAATCTTATTTAATGAAGCTTACAGGGAATATGGCACCAAAAGAGAGTTGGGGAGCGTTTGGGGAACATCTGTAACGGTCCCCGTTACAATTAGCACTAGTTATACAAGTTTTTATACATTGAGGTTACTTGAAACGAGACAACTAATGTTTATACTTTGAATTTGATTTGACATTTCTTACTAAAACTTTACAGCCTTTATATTTCCGAAAATTCCTTCAATAAATGCACATTTTTTTTGATCAATAGATTACCGTGATTTCAGTAAATATGTTACCGTGAATTTGGATATATCTATTTTCAGTTTATAAATTGCCGTTATTTTACACATCTATTTTCAGTCAATTGATTATACCGTGATTTTTGACATTTATTTTTAGTTTATAGATTATACCGTGATTTTGGACCTCACACTCCGTTCTTGAGGTATTCTGGTTCCATCTACATGTTTCTATAGGGACCCCAGCAGTCCAATCAATGATACTTATCTGCTCTGACACGTTGAAGAAACTGTGTTGACACATAATAACGGCATGGGTTTCATTGTGGGTGACATTTGCCTTGAAACATGAAACTGAAAGTAAGGAAAGATAAAATTAGGATATATTGAAGCTCGTGTATCCTTACTCTGCAACTAATACGGTAAAATATACTTACAGTTAAAAGCCAGGGGCAAACAGTTTTGCTTCATTATAAGCGTTTAATATTATTGTATCCCTATACATGCATTTCAAAGACAGGAGGAATGAAAACGATTTGCTCTTACATGTAGCTTAAATTTATTACATTTAAAAAGCGTGTTCTTTCTATAACTTGTTCTGCTACATGTAAATCCATGAAACTCGTTATAAAAAGGTTTTCATCTTATTCATTTTTTGAATGTGAAACTGATATACTACAACAAGGAAACAATGTGATATTTTTCCTCTGACCAGTTCCGGCATCACACGTGGTATTAACCAAGATTGATTTGCCAGAATTCTCTGTGTTGTTAGATGTAAAGGTAAACGTCAACATTCTGTACGCTTTATCATAGCCCCCCACTACAACATACTTACTCTTCTCTATCGGCAGAGTTACGGGAGTTTTGACATTTTTTGTCATCTTTCGAGTCTTCTTCAATTACAACCCTTGTAGAATTTGAATCACAGTCAGTATGAATCCCAAGGGTTTGAGTGTCTTTATAACAAAAACCCTTTCGCATTTCGTCTTCTTCTATGACCTCTTTTCTTCTATTAAAGTATAATTTATGTGAAATAAATTATACACATTCTGAACATTTTTACAATGAACATAATTCTACAAAACATTTTCCTTAACTTTGTATGAAATGTCCTGATAATGATATTCAAAATAATTGTGTATATTTAAAAAATACTCATGTTGTACTAAGTGTGAAAAATAATCAATACTCTTTATGCAAAAATCTCTTAGTTTATAAAATCTGTTTGAAAAATTAAAAATTGACGATGAAAGTATATTTCAAAATCAGATAGCATTTGCTTTAAATGTGAGGTACAGTTAAGGGTATACACAATAATTTGTTACGAGGTCATAAAACTCATTACTGCTAATTAGGTTTAACGTCATGAACTATTTACCGATATTGGCAGTAATTTGTAACAAACTTCAACATTTTTATCTTTGATTGAATAATACTAAGTAACTATTGATTTTTTCGTATATAAAATCTTAAAATTGTTCTCTTTTTAATATGTTCTTTGGTTCCATTAGGCTTCAATAAAGCACTTGGACTCGATGGCACGGAATGTTCTTTACATTTAAAAACGTGGCAACAAAGCTAAGATACATGTGTGCAGTGGATTTAAATAAAGATGTGGTCTTCTAAAATCCCATAGATATTGTCAATCTGAAACTCAATTATTACTTGGAGGTGAAATGTTTCTCGTAATATCTTCCTGAACGAACAGCAACTGGTCAATTATATGCATGACTCCGTTAGTAGCTCCTTCGTCCATATAAATAACATTCGCTGATGCATCTCCAAAGTAATCCGTACATCTAAAAACAGATAAAAATATTGAAGGTGTGAGTTTGTTTAATGCTTAAGTACGTTACACTCCCATACTTTCTATGTGCCAGTCAGACACACAAGGTCATTATATAACTAACTCAGACACACAAGGTCATTATATAACTAAGTCAGACACACAGGGTCATTATATAACTAAATCAGACACACAAGGTCATTATATAACTAAGTCAGACACACAAGGTCATTATATAACTAAGTCAGGCATACAAGGTCATTATATAACTAGGTCATTATATAGCTAACTTAGACACACAAGGTTAATATATAACTAAGTCAGACACACAAGGTCATTATATAACTAAGTCAGACACACAAGGTCATTATATAACTAAGTCAGACCCACACATTATATAGCTACATGTAACTCAAACACACAAGGTCATTATATAACTAAGTCAGACACACAAGGTCATAATATAACTAACTCAGACACACAAGGTCATTATATAACTAACTCAGACACACAAGGTCATTGCATAACTACACACAAGGTCATTGTATAACTAAGTCAGACACACAAGGTCATTATATAGCTAACTCAGACACACAAGGTCATTGTATAACTAACTCAGACACACAAGGTCATTATATAACTAACTCAGACATACAAGGTCATTATATAACTAACTCAGACACAAAAGGTAATTTAGAACTTAGTCAGACACACAAAGTCATTAAATAACTAAGTCAGAAACAAAAGGTCATTATATGACTAAGTCAGACACACAAGGTCATTATATAACTAAGTCAGACACACAAGGTCATTATATAGCTACATGTAACTGAAACACACAAGGTCATAATATTAACTAAAGATCAGACACACAAGGTCATAATATAACTAAGTCAGACACACAAGGTCATTATATAACGAAGTCAGACACACAAGGTCATTGTATAAGTAATTCAGACACACAAGGTCATTGTATTACTAAGTCAGACACACAAGGTCATTATATAGCTAACTCAGACACACAAGGTCATTGTATAACTAACTCAGACACACAAGGTCATTATATAACTACAGTCCCTAAAAGTGGGCCTCTTTCCCACCTGAACGGTGAACGAACACTGAACGAACGCTGAACGAACGGTGAGCGAACGGGGAACGAACGCAGAGTGAACAGTGATTGAACGATGTGCGAACGCTGAACGCAACTTGGTGAACGATGTGTGAACGGTGAACGAATGCAGAACGCGAACGGAACGCAAAGTGAACGGTGAGCGCAAGATGAACGATTCATTCGGAATGCCACCAATCTTTTCCTTGGATTGAGATTATTCTATTATTCTATAATTTTAACTTCAGGTGCTTAAATATAAATAAACAATAAATAAATAAATAAATAAATATTAAAAACATTTTTGTTCTGTACATGTATATACCTATGTTTTAATCGTATTTTTGTAACACGATTTTATTGCCGTAAAACATGTGTATTTTTTTCCGAACGCGAGTAGATAAAATATAAAATTAATCTATCTATATAGTAAAATATGCTTATTCTTTTCACTAATAAAATAATGTGGACCTTTGATGATAAAACTCATACTTATACGAATGAATTAATTACATCTAGCGGTTGAAAACAACCATACATGTACATGTATTTCCGTGCCAAAGCGATTCTGAGTAAAATAACGGATTTTTTTTTAAATTCATAATTATCTGTTGACATTGACTGTTGTGGTTCTCCTAAACTCTCGTTTTATTTAAATTCTTATGCAAAATATTCTATATTTATGTGCCTTTTGTATTCTTTTATGACGATTATTTTAGCTAACTTCTTCATGTATCTGTAGACATTTCCCGGCTGTGATTATACTCGGTCAAGGTGTTGGAAAGAGGCATTCAAGTTATTTGTAATAAAATAAAATTTCAAAACTAAATAAGTAATTTGCTGTCATAGTTTTTATTGAACAGAGAAATGTACAAGAGAGATAACCCCCTCGATTCTCAGATGTCTGTAGTATCAAATGAAAATTCTTATTATTTTTCCTAAATATTCCAAGCAGTAGACTTAATCTTTTTTGCGATTTAACAATTCCATTGACCGTAATCATCAGCTTTTTTATTTTCCATCATCAAGTTCGTACAGTTCAAAGGAAGTCCGTGCAAGTAGCGTGCATGTCCTGTCAATCAAAATAATTCGACACAGTGGAGGTGTGGAAATTGCGTTTCACCGAACATGCCAACGGCAAAGAGTCACTTAGTATTCCAAGAAGTTTTAATATTTTTTCCTATCATTTCTCATTTTGATTTTAGCATTCCTGCAGAAAGAAAGTAATTGGATTAAGTTTTAACTTGAATTTGAAACATATTCCCTGCCAGTTTAAAATACTACTGTCGGCACAAGTTTATTCTAAAACACTATTGTTTAATGACTGTTTGATGTTGGTTTTAAGACTGATTTTCTTGTGTTACAATACAAATTAAATATTGATTAAAATATACTGAAAAAACTCAATAAGAATTTTATTTCGGGAAAAAAGACACGGGGGGGGGGGGGGGAGGGGTATTGATTATCTGAATGGCAAACATATACTGAAGATCACTTAATTTTCGCGAGATACTCATTGACCCTTAATTAGCGTGACAAAATTTTCACGAATTGTGGTCGTTGCTCTATATAATCTTAAGAAATTCTATTATACGCGAGAATGAAATTTTTCGCGAGCATACCGTCTCGCGTAAGTACGCGAAAATAAAGTTCTCGCGAATAAAAAGTGATTTACAGTATTTAAACATATGTTTAGGTACGGTGAAGGAAGGAATTTTCCTTTTCTAATAATAGACTATTTTAAACATTTTGGTCTTTTCTGAAATTTAAAACCACACCATCAATTTAATTAGCTTTAAAGATATTTAATTAACTGAATATTTGCAGTACTGTTCATAATTCTCAAACCTACATGTAGTTAAAATACGTGTTACTGTAGAAATAATTTTTTATATATTATTGTCCTGTAAAAGACTTGGATTAATTATTATACATCCATTAATAATTTGTCCTCTTTTAAATTACATAAAGTTGATGTCGTGCGTGAAGCATTTGTACACTGCCCTTTTTTGAAAATAATATTTTAGCATCGTTCTACATACATATAGGTACTTAATGTATTATTTTCCAGAGAAATTTCATGAAATAAGTAACAGCTCCAGTTATAACAATAGAAATATAAATATCATAGATAATTTTTGCAATATAATAATTATTCTTCAAACACGATATCTAAGTTATTTAATTAAAAACATGTAAATCCTTACCATCAAAAAGATAAGTCCTTTCACTTCGGAGTTCCGAATGACAATGAAGACTGAACGATAAGTGAACGGTGAACGCAAGGTGAACGCAAAGTAAACGGAACGAAGAGCGAACGGTGAACGTTTTGTGAACGGTGAACGCTAGCGCACGGTGAACGGTGAACGCAATATTGTGAACGAAGAGCGAAAAGTGAACGCACGCTGAACGAACGGTGAACGAACGCTGAACGAACGGTGAACGAACGGAAAAATGGGAAAGTAGAACGTTTCAGGGACTGTAACTCAGACACACAAGCTCATTATATAACTAAGTCAGACACACAAGGTCATTATAAAGCTACATGTAACTCAAACACACAAGGTCATTATATAACTAAGTCAGACACACAAGGTCATTATATAACTAAGTCAGGCATACAAGGTCATTATATAACTAAGTCAGACACACAAGGTCATTGTATAACTAACTCAGACACACAAGGTCATTGTATAACTAAGTCAGACACACAAGGTCATTATATAGCTAACTCAAACACACAAGGTCATTGTATAACTAACTCAGACACACAAGGTCATTATATAACTAACTCAGACATACAAGGTCATTATATAACTAACTCTGACACAGAAGGTAATTTAGAACTTAGTCAGACACACAAGGTCATTAAATAACTAAGTCAGACACACAAGGTCATTATATAACTAAGTCAGACACACAAGGTCATTATTTAACTAAGTCAGACACACAAGGTCATTATATAACTAAGTCAGACACACAAGGTC